GGCGGACAGGGCACGGAGTGCGGGAGCATGCTGCCGGAGTTGGACAGCAGGAGGCAGCCCGAGTTCGCCATGGAGCACAGCATGGGGCGGCAGGGGGGCGCCCGGCGTCCGGAGGCAGCTCTGCGCTCGCTGCGTCCCTCGGTGTGTGCGCGCGCCCTGCCTCCCGGGCGCCCTCCCGGTCTCTCCTCCTCCTCCTCCTCCTCTTCCTCTCTGGGCCTCCCCTCCCCCTCGTGGCGCTCTTTAGGAGGGAGGCATCGAAAGGCGAGCGGCGCGCCTCTGCCCGGTGCTCCCCCTGCCCGGGCGGGGAGGCTGGAGAGAGCGCGCGCGAGAATATGGCAAGAGAATATATGCGCGAGAGGATGGATGCGAGGGAGCGAGGGGGAATCCGTCACTTTGGAGCCACCGGAGCCCGGTCTGCAAAGAGTGGTGCGTGTGCGTGTGAGTGTGCGCGTGTGCGCGCGTGTGTAGCGGTGGGAGGGGGAGTCCCTGGCGTACTCCAACATCAAACAGCCCCGCGCGGAGGGCAGAGAACCCGGACGACGGCACCACAGCTGATCCCACACTTAACCCCTCGCCCGCCGGCCTGCGCTGCGCTGCCAGCTCTCGCACACTCCCGCGGGCCTTGTGCTCCCCTCCTCCGCCCGCGTGTAGTGCAGTCCCTGCTTCCCGTGGTGGGGTCTGGGACCTCCCTTGGCCCCGGCTCTGTCCCCAGCCTCTGCAGAGAGGAGGAGCGGCTCTGCGGCCCGACCGACCGGAAGGCGCTTGGTCCTGCCTGGCGTTGAGAGAAGCGCCTCTCCTCAGGGAGGCCGGCTCGGTGGCGGGGATATCGGTGATGTAATGAGGGCACCTACGCAGAGGCTTCCGCGCTGGGAAGGCTTCGCCACTGCCCAGGGCTTGGAAACCAGCCAGAGCCCCCAGGAGTCTCACCTGCCCTCCTGCCCGTGCCCAGACCCCATAAGACACCTCGGCAGTCTGTCGCAGGCACATGGTTTTGTGGATACTTGATATGGGGATGGGCGACAAGGAACACTGGCCACTGTGCATCCTCCCCTCCCCACACCCACAGGCACTGGAGTTGGTGTGCACAGGGCAACCCTGAGGCCTGCGCAGGTACCCACCTCCTGACCCCGTAGTGCTTGGAAAGGCCCCTTGTACCACCACTATGAAGTGCTTGGAGACATCTGCCGCTTCCCCAGCCACACAACACACCAGCCTGCCCGAGTGCATACTCGCCCCGTCCCCCAGGGCAGTCTTGGCTTACCAGGACAAGCCACAGGTGAGTTTGGCTGTGAGTGGGACAGTATGCCAGTTGCTCCCATCAGAGGTAAAGCCAGCAGGGCACACACCTAACCTCACGCCTGCCTACACAGCCTCCAGGAGGGCATCCCATACAGTTCTGCGCTCGGCCATCCTGCCTCAAGGCATCTGCAGTTCCCCTCCTTTCACCGTAGAGAGCAAGGTCTATTCCAAGGAGGCAGGGCTGGGACCACCCGGCATGGGAAGGCAGCCAGCCCGACAGTTTAGTGTGGGGTCCCCTCTCTTGCTGTGCGATTCAGGAAAGTCTCTTCTCTCTGGGGCCTTGGTTTCTACACCCAAGCTGAGGAGTTGGTTGGATGCTTCCATTGTAGTGAGGATAGGAGGAGGGCTGAGCGTGGCGTCCTCCCAGCACCACCAGCAGGAGGCAGATGGACAAGTACACCCAGGGCAGCCCCTCTCAGGCACCATGTCCCTGCAACAAAACAGCCTGCAGTTCATCTCCCTTTTGGAAGGAAGGGGAGTGAAGTTGGAGGAAGGCAGAAGGGAAGGGCCAAGAGTCAAGGGAGAGCCTGGAGGTGGGTGAGCTGAGCCACCTTGTCTGGTGGTCCACGCTCACCTGATCTGGAATCCTGCTCTGAGATTCCCCATTTGTGTAGTGTTGGCTCAGAGAGTTCTGCAGAGTCTTGGCTTGGGACTCCTGGAGGCCACCACTGCCTTTGGGTAGAGACAGGTTATTTAGTTGGTGTCCCAGTCTCAGACAGTGGTGGGGTGGCCCAGTGCCAAGGCATGGTACATCCAGGGCAGGAGCATGAGGCTGGGCACAGTGTTTATGAACTGGGGCCTTGCGGAGGGGTTCCCTATGGGCATGGTGTGGAGTGGGTCTGGCTGAAAGAGTATGGTGGTCCTTCCCACCTCCTCCTTCCCACCTCCCTGTTTCACAAACCTGTCCTCTCTGAGAGTCTGTCAATCATCATGGCCCCCACGGCCGCTTCCCTGGAGGATGCTCGGGAATTTGGGGCAGCCACATAACCCTTGCCTAAGCCAGGGCTCCAAATCTGCCCTGACTGTGACTCATTCTCTCATTAATTCGCCATTGATACCAAGCATGGACTGTGAGATCAAGGCCTCCCAAAGAGAACTTGGGGTGTATCCCAAGCAGTGCCCATCACCGGTCACTCTTGGAGTTGACTCTCCTGCTTTTCCTATTGAGAACCCATGATATGTGGACGCAGTACTGTATGCTGAAGCTGTAGTGATGAAGTTCTCTGCCCCAGAGTGAGCACACTGACTGGTGGGGAAACCAAGCCAATAAACCAAGACTGCAGCCTAATATGCTGAGAGCATCAGCTGAGGGATGTGTCTAGACGCCTGCCTCCACCAGCCAGCTCGTCACACCCAGGCTCCAGAGTGGAGACCTGGCGCTCCCAAACAGAATTAAGAGAAAACCTCCAGCACAGGGCTTGCCCAATGAGTGTCTGGCTTATTTCTCAGGACGGGGGCTGTGTGCCTGCTGCCTTCTGGGCCGTGCTCTGGACCTGTGACTTCTAATATGAGCCAATTACTGAATGCCATGAACCTCGTTCTACTGTGATTGTCTGAGTCTGTCATGCAGGCCTGACTGTGCAGACCTTGCTCGCAAGAGCCCTGCCTTCTTCACCTTGCACCTCCCATGCCAAGCACTGGGACGGGGGGCATCAGACTGTGGGGTGCAAAGTTCTCCAGGTCCTAGAGACGCCTGGCCATTCTCCTGAACTCTAAGTGCCACATAGACTAGGGAGGGTGGCCCTGAGCAGGGGCAGGGGAAGCCTATGCGCCTGCTGCCGCCCGCCCCCCTCCTGAATTGAAGAGAGGCTGTGCACTGGGAAGAGCTGTCAATCCAGTGTGAATATTCACTACTTAAAAAAAAAGAGCCAAGTAAAAAATATCCCATACGCCCTGAATCTGAGAAGGGCCTTGTTAGGGAGGCAGGAACTGAGCTGTAATTATTTCTGCGCTCCTGGGCACCACTATAAATATCAGGAAAGGGAGGCACCTCAAAAAGGTTCCGAGGGTTCCAAGGCTTTGGAGCTCCTTCCTGCCCCTGTCCTGTGTCACCTTTCCTGGCAGGGGCCCTGCCGGGGCAGGTACTACTCTTCTTGCAGTTGGCAGGGCCTGCCCGTCCCAACTTCCCCAGGTCCACATCACCTTGCCAGATACTCTCTGTCTCTTTGGTATTTACCTCTGTGTAATGGGACAGCATTTGCCCAAAAGTGTCCAGTGGGGTATACCAACACCTCAAAATAGCCTGTGCTTGTAACAAAAGAGCTCCATGAGATCTGTGGCCAAGTGATTCAGGGCGTGTTGCCCATGCCAACAGCTCCTACCTGCTCCTTCCTTTGGGAAGTCCCAAGGCAGTCCATGGGCACCTCCCCGCAGAAAAGAGTCCCTGAAGGTGGGCTGGGTGGGGGTCCAGCTGCTCCTCACCCTGCCTCTTCTCCTTCTCAGTGGTCAGGTGACTGTCCTCAGGCAGCACAGGGAGATGAGGAGAGCCTGGCAGGGCACCCCAGGATGAGGGGCAAGCTCACAGTCTCCAGTCGAAGTCGCACCAAGCCCAGAGCCGTAATCTGCAAATACCCTGTGCTTCTCATGCTTTCTGCAGAGCCAGACCTTCCCGTCTTGGGCATGAACACTGGGGGACAAAGGAGGCCAAGTAGCAGAATCCGACCTCTCCAGTGAGACAGGCTAGTGTGGCACAGCTTAGAGGTGGGGTGGGTGTAACGGGGTGTGGTGTGACTCAACTGAAGTCCTACATCACCAGCTGAATACTCTCCCAGGGGAATTGATGTCTCTGTTTGGTAGCCAAGATAATGGGGTTAGAGTCGGAGCAAGCACCAAGCTCAGGGCTGCCCCAGAGACACACAGGAGTGTCAGGGTTGGGGTAGGCGAAGTCCTGAGCCTTTTTTTTTTTTTTTAACAGAAATCCCTCAGATTCCCCTCAGTGGGGGAATTCTTATCTTGTGGATAGGTGTCTGCTTGCGCTTTGTCCTGACCTGTTCAATTCTCCCCAAAGAGCAGAAGAGTTGGCAGAGGAGCTCTGCAACGTGGAGCAGGGACAGCAAACCTGAGCTGTCAAGTGCAGCCCTGGCTGACCAGGCGCTGCTGGAGGCGTCCAGCAGGGGGCCCACTCACACTTGCAGGAGGTTCCCCTTCTAGAGCAGGGCTTGAGGAGGGGCCTCTGGGGGCTCCCCACCCTGGAGCCCTGCCTCCCTCTTCTAGGGAGTCTTGGAGCATGCAAGCACGGACCAGGCCTCCATGGCACCCACCTTCAGCTCTGTGGGGGTCCCCCACCCATTGACGCCGTCCCCCTGGCCCCAGCAGAGACTGCAGCAAAAGTGGAAATCGGCGTGCGAAGGAAGTTTATTTATCTGTTTAATTAAGAGGCGTTTGCCAGCCACATTCGGGTCCATCCGTCTCACTTACAACCATGTCCCGGCAAAATTAAACATAATAAATACAGGGAGACTGAAAGCAAAGGGCACACTCGAGATATATGGGCAAAGCCAGAAGTTGCACAGGGTTGCAGATATAAGCACATCTTTCTTTCGCAAGTTTCTCTCCCCTCGGGGCCTGGGAGCCAGAGGACCGCTCTCAGAAAGGGGGCAGTGGGTGCCGTTCGACTCCTCTGCTCTTTCCACTCTGCGCTGTTGCCAAGCTTTATGTATTTTAAATGAGCCCCCAGGACTTCCTCTTCTCTCCTGTAGAAGGGGAGAGAGCGAGCAGAACCAAGGAAAGGCCGAGACCCAGGGAGCACGGTGATGTTCCACCTCAGGGCTGGAAGGGGAGAGGCGTCCGAGGCAGCTCCTTGGACAGCTCCTTGCATTCTACCTGCACCCGCCCTGCACTCTGCGAGCAGCGGCATGGGCTGAGCAGAGTCTGGCCTTCAGTGCCAGCTGTGGCCAAGCCACCACTAGGCGACTGGTCCCAGAATCCCACAGAAACCGGGGGCGGGGGGAGGGCGAGGGGCAGCCTTCTGTTTCTCCAATCTGAAGGCTCAGGAGTCTGACCACTTTAACTTCCCCAGAATATGAGCACACAAAGGGGGGGAAATGGTGATTTATTGTCATTATTGATTGCTAACTGTAACAATACCTTGCACTTTCTCAGTTCTGTCCTAACCTTTTCAAAGTGGCTTACCATATCTCTTCTCACTTGATCATTGCAAGTTAGGTAGGGAAGGTATAATGAGGCCCATTTGCTACATGATGACACTTTTAAGATTACAGAGGTGGCCCAAGGTCATGCAACTAGTTAGAGGCAGATCCTGAGCTGGAAAACAAGGTTCCTGACTCAGATACATGGGAGCCTCTTGCTTCCTATGCCTGGCACATGCCCTTCTGTGAATCTCCTCATCATTAGCCCTTGGCTCTCTCTCCTAACAGGATCACCCCTCAAACCAAATCTGTTAATGGAACAGTCATTTGCAATAGCTTGGGCATTTACTAATCACACCACTGCTTGGTCTGCGCGGCAATTATCTTGAATTTCTTCTTTCTCATTAGGCTGGAGGTCGTGAGAACTCAGTGGGTTGCTGAACTCTATGATGGAGCCAAGGAGAGAAGCTGTGGTTGGACCAAGCAAGTCCTTCTGCAGGGCCCCAGCTGACCTGCCATGCGGTGCTCAGTTTCCTGAATCCTCACTCCACGCTCTGAGCCTGACCCACCCGCTGGACCCTCCTATCCCATCTCAGCCTGTGCATGATCTCTTGGTGCCCTTGTGCCAAGACCACAAATAGCCACAGGAAAAGAGTTCCGAGAGGCTCGGGAAGTTGCCTTTCTGCTTGGAGATGGAGCTCCAGCTCTGATTTTGTCTCTAATGAAATGCCCTTGGGCATGGCTGAGCACAGCCCTTGTTCACGCCAGGGCAGTCCTCCGGTTACAGGTTTACCATCCTCCAGGCTCCCAGGACACTGCCAGAGAAAGCTGGCATAACCCACTTCTCCACGCAGCCTGTGGCACGCAGCACGAAAATTACCCTGGCCGCCCAATTGCTGCAGGGCAGCTTCAGCACCAGGGACAGCTCCGCTCTTCCCGGGGCTCACCTCTCCTTCCCCCAGTGAAACAGACTCTAGAGAGGGGAAGAGAACTGGGAGGCACGGAGGGGCAGGCTGCAGGCACCCCTGCCTTCCAGCTGGATCGCTGCAGCCTGTGGGGCAGGCGCTGTCTGTTCTCTTTGTTTCCTTGAAGCGCTCCACTGAGGGAGACCCTGACGTCTCTCTGGGGAGCCCATTTGGGTTTTTATCACCCTGGCTGTCAAGAAAGTCTGCCTTATGCCTCACACAGACCTTTTCCATCTTAATTTCCCTCGAAGGGTGAAGGCCTTGAAGCAGTGACAGAAGCTGAAACCACTGCCACCTCTTCTAGCTCTCAGGAGAGACCTGGGTCACCCTCCAGAGCTTGTAGAGCAAAGCCGTGTGTCAAAGAAAGAAGCCAAACGAATCCAGTGCTTGCCGCACTGGCTAGGCGACGGGAGTCTGCAACAGGGAAGACCGCATGCACACGGGCCGCAGAGTGGGCAGCCGCCACCTCTGTGCCCAGCATGGATCTGTGTCCAGTTCAGTTAGAATTGACCAGAGGAAACAAGGCATTCAGGGTTCCTGAGCAGAGCTCCGTGGAAGAGGTCGAGGTTTTTCTCCCACCAGAAAACAGGTCTGAACCACCCCTGGTGGAGGTGGCACAGAGAGTCACTGGGCTCTCCACTTTGCCATTGGTTTTAAAAATTGTTGCTTGAGAGAGACACTAGTGCCCCTTCCTTCAGCCCCAAGAAGACAGACCCAATCAGCACCACGGAGAAGGAATGAAGGCCAGGGTGCCCTGGGCCAAGCTCTGTGGGTATTAGGTACTCTACACCGGGCCTACCTGAGAGGCTCTGTGTCCCTGTCCAGCACCCAGCTAGGTAAAAAGCACCCTCAATGCCTCAGGACACAGAATGTGAGGGGGCTGCTCTGCACTCCTCCTCTTTGTCCCCCTAAAGTCAAAGCATCAGCTCATTAAAGGCTTAACCAAGACTCACAAAGGCCCAACGAGGTGGTCCTGTCCTGGCAAGCCATGTGGCCCTGGGGAGGCCAGTGCACAGTGTCAGGCAGCCAGTGCCAAGCTGCAGATAGGAGCTGGCCACAGGACAGCAGGGTGGCCAGTGGCAGGTGGTAGGCAGGAGCCTCTTCCAAAGCAACCACAGGTGCCGAGCTTGTCCCAGGACTCAGAGGATGGGGACAGTTCTGGTTGGCAGGAAGCAAAGGAGCAGATACCCATGCTAACCTGCAGCTCATGTCCTTACACCTCCAGCGTGACAGGGACCAAATATGAGCTCCTTTCTCCAGCCTTCAGGAGAGGGAGCAGTGGTGGTCTGCAGAGGAGCTTCTAGGTAGGACCCTGGCCAGCAGTAGCCCTGCCTGGCTGCCCCTGACCCCAAGGAGGTTGTTAGAATTGCTGCAGGTACGGGTGCAAAAAGAGCAGAGAAGGCGCAGAGGATTCTGATGTCCTTCAGAGTCCCCAGAGCTCTCCAGAGAGGAGAAGTAGCACGTTGCTATGGGCGTGGGTGCATGCTTTGACTTGGATGCAGGGCCCTTCTAGGGCCACAGCCCCTCCTAGCCCCTACCCCCTGCTCCCTCTTCCTCCTGGGGAGAGCGCTTCTCTTCCTCATCTACTCTAGCACTGGGGTCCAGTGATGCTTTGGCACCACGACAACTCTCCGGTTCCAAGGCATGGGGTTTCTGAGAATTCACTGGCAAGGAGATTTGGGGAAGCTGGCGGCCAGCTGAGGACCTACACTGCTCTGAGCAGCTCCCGGCATCTCCTCCCACCGAGAGCTCTGCATTAGGGTGGGGGAGCCGTCTGTTCCGTCTCTTACTTCCCTGGGATGCCGTGACTTTTGATTCCTGCTTGATTAATATACAGCCAACAGACACTGTATTTAAGGCAGCTTTAATTCTCTCAGGTCACCAAACTCGGGAGCAGCAACGCTGTGAGGAGCCAGCCCCGCAATAGATCAAACACTGGGACCTTCAAATCGCTCTGTGGCCCAATTTCTCATCACTGCTGCTGCCTGATAACCCTCCCAGCCTGGAGCCAGCCTCCCCCTTTTCTGGGGGTGGGCTCAGGGACTGGATGTGTATGTCCACGGCTGAAACCCTGCTGGCAGCTAGAACAGGAGCTGGCAGGACTCAGTGCTTCAGTCCTGCAAGAGTGACCCGTCAGCACCAGGGACAGCTCCCTGGTGTTCCAGTGCTGCCTGAACTCGGCCTTCCTGGGCCCTACAAAGAGGATGTCAATGAGTCTCTCTGGTTTGCAGGAGGTGGCCAGTGGCCAGCCCTGCTGAGGGCCACCTCACTCCAAATCCCTTCCCAGCCAAATCCGTCTCCTGCTCCCCTTTGGGGCCCTGCACCCTCCCATATAGACTTAGGCTTTCTCCCTTAGGCTTTCTCTAATCCACTTTCTCATTCTCTGATCCTCCTGAGAGCTCTCCCCAAAGAGAAGCAGGCTGCTCTCAGTTAGGACACCTGGCTGCCTCTCTGCTAGCCCTGGGTGCCCAGGGCTTCTGGGGACCCCACCATCTCCTTTTTGGCTCCCCCCCCTTTCCACTTGCCTGGCTCGTTAGCAGGCTGATTTGTCTCCTGGCACCTGGTGTCCCCCTATTGGGTGGGGGAGAGGGCCAGAACTGTCTGCAAGGCTGCCATTTCCTCTGAAGCGTCTGTTATAGACCTGGTCCTCACTGCACTGCCGAGCAGCACAACACAGAGAGATTGCACTCGGAGGCCGGGCTTGAAACTGACCTCCCAGGGGGGCAGGGAGGGCGCCGTGAACGGACAACCTGGTGCACAAAGCCGTTCCCATTTAAGAGCAGGACCTTCGTGGGCCAGAGTCTGATCAATCTTTGCTGCCACCCTACACCACAGATTAGGAAGAAACATTCGCATAGAAGTTGGAGCAGCCCCAGATGCGCCCTCCCCGGCCCAAACACCACTGCTGTTGTGTTAGGATTTTTCTCTCCACAAGCCCCATTGGAGTTACCCCTCCCCCTCGGCCTCCTTCCACTTAAAACATCATCTATAGATTTTCAAATTATTGCTACACTTTCTAAGAGAAGGATGCAGTGGTTAAAAATTAACAGCAAATTTATAGGAATTCTATGTGGCAATTACAGAATTATAATGGAGTGGCCGCCACTTGGCGAGTGTGGGTAATTGGAAATCCACACTGGGAGACCGGGATCTTTATGGCACTGGGGTTGTGTTTTTCGGGTGTAAATGCTGTGGAGAGGGTCAATGGACCCTTGAGCTGGCCAAGTTCTTCTCCAGAGGAAAGAGTGGCCAGCCTCCTAGGGAGGGGAGGCGATTTAGAAGGCGAATCACTTAACTGGTGCAGAGGGAGGAGGCTCTGGGAGGCCTGGGGTCGGCAGGTTGGGGGCTAGAGGAGCAGCCCTGAGACCCCCCAGCCCCATCTGGAAAGGAAGGGGAAGGCAGAGGGAAACGAGTCACGGCAGGGCACAGGACGCGGGCCAGCCAGCAGGAGAAGCCTGACTCTCCCCACCCTGTGGGTAATTCTATTTAAAAAATTGGATGAGAAAGAGAGACCATTTATGAAGGCGGGGTGGACATTGTCCACGCTTCCCACGGGGCCACCCCTGCCGCTGCACCCGCCGTGGTAGTTCATGGTGGGCGCTGCTGCCTTCTCCTCCCTCTAGGACCACGGCGGCTGGGACCACCATGGCAGGACCCCGAGAAGGGACTCTGACTGGAGATCTAGGAGCAAATCACCTGGTTCAAGATGTCAGCTAGACCTGGTGCTGTCCAATATGGGAACCACTGGTTCCCGTGGCCGCTCAGTGCTGGAACAGTGACACTCAATGTGTGTGTCAGTTGCGTGCAGAAATGACGATGCTTCTGGAGCGTGAGGTTGCGTTAAGTGCATTAATAAAAATAGTCGCACCCATTCTGTTTAAATGTGGCGATGGAAAGTACAAACTGACCCACAGTGCTGGGCAGGAGCAGGGACAGGACACTTCCCATTCACCAGGTCACCACCTTCCCATTGACAGAACCGTTGCCAAGGGCCACCCTTGGGTCTCTTCCTACGGTGAGGCCTGTGTTGGCAGAAGGCACACTGATCCCCTTTCCCAGAACTGACTCTGGGTAACAGGGCTTGCTCCATTGAGGTCCCTCTCTGGCTTGGTTTCTGTCTCCTCTGTCCTGCTATTTTGTTCCTGTGTCCTGCTGGGACAGCAGTGGAGGCACAGAGAGTGGAGCTTGGCTTCTTTCTGTGCTTGCCTCTCCTCTCCAGGACATGCCAGAAGTCCAGCACGGGCAGACCCTGGCCATGCCCCAGCACCAGCGCCCATGTGCCTGGACCCCAGGCTGAGCTTGTTGACATTGCTCCCCAGGTGGAGCAAGAGGCCTCAGAGATTTCAGTTCAGTGCTACAGGGCATGGCAATAACTGTCCCAGTGATAAAGCTTTGGACAGGTGGGGCAGCACGTACCCAGGACACCTGCCACCTCTCCCTCCCTTGGAGCACTTATCATTGCCACAGGTCCCTCTGCAGGCAGAGTAGGAGGTGGAGGGTAGCTGTCACCCTTGCCAGGTCCTGGAAGAAGGGCTGGGGAGCATCCAGAGTGGAAAGTGGGACTCAGGACGTGGGGCCTGAGTCTCTTCTACCTGAGCAGCAGGAACAGAGCTGAGCCTGGACAGCCTTGGGCTCCTAAGGCCACAGTCACCCGGCCCCGCCTCTCTCCTGCGCCCTCTACCAGTGGGAAGGGGCCTTCCTCAGCCTGGAGCCGGGCCTCTCTCTGCCCCTGACCCTCGTCGTGTGGCTCTGGGCGAGCTAGTCAGCATCTTGAACTTTCATTTCTGCTCTGCAAGAACAGGATGGTGATACCTCCCTTTGTATTGAATCCCCATTTCATAGACAAAGGAGCTGGCAAACGGTAATGATCAATAAGTCATGTTAATTAATTCAACAAATATTTATTGAGTGCCTCCAAGTGCCCGGCTTTGTTCTGGGTCCCTCCTCTCCGCAGTGGCCACATGAGACAGCCAGGGGAGCCCGTCTCCCTCCACCCAGGTGGACTGAATTGGCCTGTTCGTCTCCCAGGCCTCGGTACAGAAAGTACAGTTAACTCTCAATTATCTATGCAAATGGAGTGGAACGTTCCACTGATAATTCAGAAAGAGCAGAGAGTCCACAAATAATTCTTATTTGAATTTGGAATGCATTATGCTTATTTTTGCGTTGGATTTACCTTCCTAATTACTGTTTGTTCTGGCTCATGCTCAAACTTGTTTGCATTCTCAGAATCCAGTGGTAGGCGGTGAGGGGTGTGCCCCAGAAGCGTGCTGGGATCTGCCGGCTGGAAACCAGCCACGGACCACCTCTGCACACCCTACCCCACCTGGAGGGCACTGACACAGGGGAGCGTGGAACAGTGGACACTGGGGCTTCTTGGTATCTAGCCAGGAGGAAAGATGGTGGCTACTTTGTGTTGCCTCGATGCTCTGCCCTGGTGTGGGGTGGGTCGTGGTGACCACAGCAGAGGAGTACACGGGAGCCCAGCAGCAGGCAGTGGTGGGGTCTGCAGCAGCAGAGATGGGCTGCTCCCTTGGGGCTGCCCGTCTGCGAGTCTCTGCTCTCCATCCTCTCCCCCTGAGTCTTCCTGCCTTTGTGTCTGTCTGTCTCTCCCTCACTCTCCCCCTCTCCCTCCCTAGGAGCACTCCTCCAGGAGAGAACCAGGAAGTAGATATTTCTTTAAACTGATATATTTTCCATGCATTCTTTTCCAGAAGGGTGAATTTTGGTGGCTGGGGGCCTGGGTCTAGCTGGGCCACTCCTCTATGGCCACTCATTTCCCGAGGCAGAGCAGGGAGGGAAGGAGGAAACACCAGGGGCTCACCTTCCCCACTGGACCCCCAGGGCAGCTGCAACCCACGGGGATCTCCAGGCATGGGAGGGAGCCCTGCCCTGACACCCGGCAACCAAGGCCACTTCTGCCCCAGCGTGGGCCTGCACCTCTGAGATCCGAGCATGCTCGGGACGTGGGCCTGGAAGGCTTTGCTCAGTCAGGTGGTCTAGGTGGGTGGGCTGCCTCCTGAGAGTGCTGTGGGTAAGACGCTGCTTGGTCATTCTCTATGCTGGACCAGACCAAGAAACAAACTCTGAATGACCACTGCTTCTGAAAAGTGCTCTCTCCTTGCTGTCCACAAGGCAAAGCCCCAGGCCCAGGTGCAGAGGGAAGACACCTGGGGAGCACCTTCTAGCACTCACAGACGCAGGGCCTGAGTACTCAGTTCATGGGTACCTTTACATAGTCACCCCAGCACGCCTCACACAACCCCGTGAGACAGACGGGTTCCCTGGGAGACAGAGGCCTGGGGAAGTTAAGGACTTTTCACAACTAATTGCCCAGGCCTCTACTCTCTCTCTCTCTCTCTCTCTCTCTCTCTCTCACATGATTTTGGGGAATGTGAGAAGCCTCTGGATCTCTGAGCTTCCTGATGCCTAATATCCTGCTGCTTCCCAGCGGTAAGACTCGCATTCTCTCCCGAGGAGACACTGAGAACACGAAGCAGAAAGCAGTCTGCAGCTCAGGTGTGGACTGTGGACTGCGCTGGTTGGAGGAAGAGAGGGACATCTGGAGAAGAGCTGGGGGCTGGCCTCGCAGAGAAGATGCCGTGCAGAAGGGCAAACCGGGGGGAGTTTGTGAGACAGAAACCTGGGAGGCTTCAGGGCAGGACTGTCCACTAGAGTTTTCTGCAGCAGTGGTACTCAGGCCCTGTGTCTGAGAGTGCTAGAAGGTGCTCCCCAAGTGCCCTCCCTCTGCACCTGGGCCTGGGGCTTTGCCTCGTGGCCAGCTACTTCTTCTCTCCCCCCTGCAAGTGAGCCTCAGTCACTCTGGGGACCACAGAGAGACACTGCCCTCCAGCTGCTGCTACTGGCCACACTCCTTCAGGGGGTTCATGTCTGTGCTCCTTCCCATGCTGCCCCTGGGACCCCTTCCTCCCCATTTCTCACTCATCCTGGCCCCTCCTCCCTTGGAGAACCAGACGTCGGGGAGTGCACACCTGGGTGCCCCTGAGCACTCTGCCCATGGCCCCTCTGGTGAGCTGCAGGCCTCAGCCTTCTCTTCCCAGGTGGAATTCGAGGAAGAGGACACGGCCAGCCATCTGGATGGTCTGAAGCCAATGGTCCACCAAGAGATGCCAATGACCTCTGGGGTGGGAACAGGTGACCTTGAACAGGAAGTAATTAGATCTCTTAAATAATCCTCTAAATCTTTAATTAAGCAGAAATGAAAGCAGAGCTTCTGTCCCTCAGTCGTACCAGCCTCATTCCCACCGCCCAGTGGTCCATGTGGCTGTGACCGGTGTCTTGACACAGATGTAAAACATTCCCATTGCTGCAGAGAGCTCCAGTGGACAGTCCTGCCCTGAAGCTTCCCAGGTTTCTGTCTCTGTAACATGAAAACATCCCAAATTGCTGTCCAAGCCTCAATGAAATGACAGGTGGCCAAAGAGAGTGGGCAGATAAAAGCAGAGCGATGGCCTTGAGGTCTCCACCGAGCTGTCAGCCTGTTGGGAACCGAGAGAGCTTCGAAGCCCCCGGAGAGCAGGGAGCCCTCTTTGCTGGGACCAGCCCTGGAGTGTCAGGAGACAGGACTCCGGGTGAGTTGGGCATCGGCAGTGTCGCTCACCAGCCCTCCCTGCCCTGGGCGCTAATGTGAGAAGGGACAGGTACCATGGGCAGAGCTGAAGGGGGGCCACCTCAGCTCAGAGCCGAGGGGGGGCACCCTGCAGGGACGGTGGCCAGGTCGGGCCCGGGCGCCACACCACCCAGCTCCTTGCAGGTCCAACAGGGCTGTGGGGAGGCCTTGGCAGGCCACACCTCGAGGTTTCACAGACCTGTCCCTGGGGAGCCTCTGTAGCCAGGAGAGCTGGGCTGGGCTGGCAGGAACCCACACGTAGACTCAGAGAAACAAAGGCACTCTGCACACAGCACCAATCCCTGCCGGGGAGGGCACAAGACCTGAAAGCTGACCTGGCGACCGGCTATGGACCCCCGACTCCCCACGGAAGCAGAGAAAAGCCACAAGGTCCCCTTCCCCGGGTGCTGGGCAGGCCAGGGCAGGAGAAATCCACCTGGCCCCTGTTCCCATGGCCATCCCGTGTGAGATGGCAGGCTGGGCCGGCCACGTCCCGTTCCCTTGAGACCTCGTCCCTCCCTCCCAACTCTTCATGGTCCTCGCCCTCCCATCCATTCCCACGCTCCCCTGTTCTTCCTCAGACCCCTCTTCTCATCCTCTCCGTGTTTTTATTTTAATATTTATTTTTTAGTTTTAGTGGACACAAGATCTTTATCTTATTTATTTCTATGTGGTGCTGAGGATCCAACCCGGTGCCTCCTGCCTGCCAGGCGAGCGCTCTGCCTCTGAGCCCCAGCCCAGCCATCTCTCCACGTGTGTTTAAAGCCTGATTCTCTGCCCCACCCCCATCCCCCTGGACACGCAAACCAGAACACGACGTGTAAAACCATCCTGATCTGACTGAGCAATACGGAGGGCAGCCGAGGCGGGGTACTTCCCAAACCAGCCAGCCCTCACCCCGCCCGCTCTGTGCCCAGGCTCGACTAGCTCTGCCCCTCTTGGCTCCAGAGGCCAGGGACCAAGAGAGAGGATTCTGGTGCTTTTAAAAGGGATGGTGGGGCAAGGCCTGGGTGGCAGAGCGGGAGTGGGGAAACCCATGAAGCCCAGGGGTGGCCACCTGCAGGGTGGTGGCCCAGCTTCCCACCAGGAGCACAGTGGGGTTCCCAGGGTGGAGAGCCCGCCAGGCTGCTGTCCCTGGTCCTGAACCTGCCTGCCTGACCCCGAAGGGCTTGCGACTTCTGTTCCCTCTCACGAGGGAACTGTTCACAATTTCTCTATCTTCATCTCCCCCATATTTTCTA